CGTTTGTTGTAATTCAGGCCCAAATTTCGCTTTCAGGAGGATTTTCAGGTTTTCGCACTTTCTCTTTCTTCTCAAAGAGTAGTTCGTTGCGATTCCTCCGCATTATTGTGATATGTTTCAAATCCTACTTGTTTTAACATTTTCTTGACTGACTTCTGACTTCAGCTGAATTCGGGCTTGTTTTTGTTTTCTGTTGTCATTTGCTTACTTTCGAATATGCTTCTTTGATTACCAGATTTCCATCAGAAGCCTTTATTGACTCATGTCTTTTATTGAGAACGTTTCTTTCCATGTCCGAAAATTTTGACACTTTCGAAAACTCGAATAGACAGCGCTATCAGTGCGCGTAAGATTTGAATAATTGAGCATCTTATTCCGTTAACTGCCTTGGGATGGTTTTCGAAATATTTGGCGTGGATTTCGGAAAGCCTAGAAACTTTGAAAACAGGCAGCCAGCGCTAAAGATTTGATTTCCAAACGTTTGATGCTAGTCGCTTGCTTATTTCTGACACTTCTTTAAAAGGCACCAATAAGACAAAACTTATCTCACAGATTTTCGTTGCAACCTTTCTAGAAGATTGCCGAAAAGGAATTGTCATAAAGTAAGTAGGAGTGAAAGCTCTATAACTTCTGCTGAATGCACTATGGATTACATTATATTGTTTCCATTTCATGCTTTTATTATTATTCCCATTATTATTATTATTTATTATACTTGACATTGTGCTGTATTCTGTCAGCAGCATCTAAACAGCGGTCAATATGTTCCCAACAGTTGCGATGTGTCGTCATTTGATGACTTCAGAGGCGACCAAGAATTTGTTCTCCGCCAGGGGTAAAAGATGGTATTGAAAAAAGGCCATTGGATTCTGAATCATGAATTTCCTTCGTCTACTCGTGGAAATTTAATTTTTATTGATGAAGTTAAGGAAAACACATAGTATTTTTGCCGATTCATTGGTTTATGGATCACAATACAGAGAAAGTTTGAGAGCGATTGAAAAGGCGGTTTTTTGCTTAGTCAAAGTTTTTTCCAGTACTACAGATAACTTTTCGTGTCGCACGTGCCTCTAGACTAATATGTCTCAACATTTCAATATTTATTGTCATTTATTGGACATTTACTGAAACATCGTTCTATACTACTGAAGATTCCAAGACTTTTATTGAAAAAAAATTCAAAAGAAACCAAAGGTGTCCGAAAGTTTCTGATCTCCTCGTATACCTTCATGTCTTGCTTATTTTTCGTGAGCTTCACTGGTGGTATTTGAATTCGTTAACAATTCGAATTCCTAGGCACCCGAAAACATGAGGAACTTTTGCCTTCTTTAGAATATCCAACTTCTTAAAAGGCTCGGGCTTGAAACCCGGTTGGGACTCGAAACCCATTGAGTAGCCGCGTTCTTATATCCCTTTTCTGCAAAGTTCGTGAATATAGGTAAGGAAATTGGAATGGAAATGGTCGATGATTCTCTGTTTTCACAAAGCCTAAGCCTTGGCTGGATGAAGAAACGCGGCGGAGACCTACCTTCTCCTCCCTAAGCCACTAAATACGTTAGCGTTTGAACGCACCAGAATTTTGGTTGGTTTCGGTTGTAGTTGCACTATTGCGAAAGGACCTTATGACTCACTCGTCATTTTTTTTGTTTTGTTAGTAATGAGTACCAGCTCTTCTCATTTTCGATTACAACAATTTTTTGGAGACATTGTTGAGTGAGGGGGGGGGAATAAACACTGCGTCGCGTTTGCAGTTCTGTCCGCTGCAAACGCTAGGCCAAGAGAGCAGGGAACAAGACTCTTCTTTTTACTTGTTAGTTCTTTCCTCTAGCCAATACTCAGTCCTAGCAAAGCGAAGGCGATAAAGGCTAGTTTTGCCGAGGAGAACTAGCCGTGTGGCTCACCCTGTGCCCCCCCCCTCGATTACGTTTGCATCCTATGTTTCGCTCCCTATATCGCTGAAATTTGTTTTTTGTCACAATTGTTGGTTAAACTGATATTTGAATTATTTTCAGGTTAGTTGTACATAGTGCTCCACTGCTTTTTGGTGGGGTGTTCTTGTGAGTACAAACTGCTACCGACGTGACTCTTTTATTTTGGCGACACAAGTCACCTATCGAAGAACACGAACAAATCGTCGAAACTTTCCCAGCACGCCTTCTTTCTCCCTTGTATATACTGTACAGATTATTTTCTCTACTAACATTGTACAGTAGTGTTGAAAAGTGCCCCCCTCCCTCCCTTATTCTGTGTTTGACGACGACGAAATTGTGAACATGGCTGAACCACAGTGGTCGAATGGTTTCAATCAAAACGTTTGGAATGGTGTCCCAACGGGACGCATGGGTGAGTTGCGAAGTTGATTTTCTATTCATAACTTTTTTGATTTTCCTCTTCTTTTTACTTTTTAGTTACCGCACTCTTCTTTTATACTAAAAATATGATGTGTGATTTCACGCGCTTCAAAAGCACCAGTTTTCTTTGTAGTGGTCCAATATTTAAAGTTTTACAAGAACAAGTGTTTCGTAAGCATGCGTTCATACTTTTCTGAGTTGCTCAGAGCGCTCACAAGGCGTCAGAGTTTTCAGCGGCTTAGAAAGTATAGGTATCGATTACTGCTAAAAACGATAGATCGATACCTATACGTTCTTAGTCGCTCGAAAGCTGACAGACTCTATGAATGCTCAAAACGCTGCTGCGAACATGAACGCATTCTAAGAGATTTGAGTAACATTGCATTGTGCAACATAAAGAGGCCCGCCCCCAACAGTCTATTTGGAATAGATGCTCCAAATAATTGGATATTTCCTCTATTGTTTTTTTGAGCGAAAACTCGGTGTCCTCTTCGCTGCACAATACTTAAATCCTGGTGAGGCTCCGGTGACGCTTAATACTGAAATAGTCTGTATTCCCTACCATATGACCTACGGTGACCACGATCAACATCAAAATGCTATGTTGACGGAAAAGTTCCTCCAAAAAATCGCATTCAAAAAGATGCTTAAACAGTGGATTCTGCAGCGCATGTATTTTTTGTTGCGATCCGTTCAGGCCTTTTTAGGCTCTAGTACACTGAGGAGGGGCACAAAAGGTTCATCCACTCCGGAGCTCTTTTCCCGCTAGGTTTGGGCAGAAGTCACCACCCTCGTTAGCTCATAGCCACTTTTTCCTCCCTCACCCTCTCTCACCCCCAACTTTCCTTATATGGGAAGAACAGTGTCTGGTTTGAAACACCCTGGGGTTTGGCAGTAATATGCGCCCCCGCCTCATTGAGGCTGCACCCGTTCCAAAATCTAAAGCAATAGTGCTTTAACGATACGTTTCTTTTATCTTTGTAGTATTTTCTTATTTTATAGTATATTAGTATTTTCTTATAAGTATTTTCTTCTTCGGCTTTTAATTACTGACTCTACTTGACTTTTTCAGACCATTCAGTTAGCAAACCGATAATGGTGGCTAACTCGAATACAAGTCAAGCTGCGTCACCACATTCGGAATCGTACGGACCTGGAGTGCTGCAGATGGTAGTCGATAATGTGCTGAGCGGATCGCCTGCATCTGCCAATGCAAAATTCGTTAGTAGTTTATATCCACTCCATTATTTTTTTTTCAAATAAGCTGCCACAAATGTGAAGCCTACGTCTACATGTGCGAGAAGTGTTTTATTTTGTCCTACCTGTTGTTTGGAGGTGCAGGATGTAGTATAGTGGCACCCCTTCCCCCCGCGGACAGTAATTTGGTTCCAAAGTGACCGGGAGATACTGACAACACGTCTGGGCCCAACGAGTCACTGTGTCATATCGCCTTTACTAAGTCACCACGATACACGATACGGCGTGGAAGTAGAATGCATGCAGCTCCCCAAAAAGGATCGATCAACGGCGAAGAAAACATCCTTGATCCTTTATCAAATTTTTAAGAGTGAATTTTGGAATTTGATGACCTCTATGAGCTTTCAGAGGTGCCAACCTGTAGTTTTCCTTCACCGCTAGAGTAGTTTGCAATTTTCCGGGCGGGGAAGACCTAGGGTAGGTGCTCTTCCAACTTTTCACCAATAACGACTGGCTCTCTTTCTTCGGCAGCTACTTCTCCCTTGACATGTACCGGCTGACGGAAAGTTGCCGATAGGGCCCCCTCTTTCGCCCCCTTCCCCCCTCCCTCCACAGAGACTCCTTGCACTGAGCTAGTTATGGAGGAGTGGGTGTCAGACATAGACGCTTCATTGTAGCAGACGTGAACGCTTCATTGTAGCATCTCGACGCTCTTATGTTCACATAAACTGTTACCAGGGTGCGGGAGGAGTGAGGTCGTTTTTGCCTCCAAGAAAAATTTTTTTCGGGTATTCTTGTGAACTTTTGCCGGTTTTCCCCGTTTCACGTAAGCTGTGCATCATGTCCCTGTCACCAGCATTTTTTCGAGTAAAACTGGAAAATATTTGGAGGAATTTCCCGAAAATGGTAGGAAATCTGGAAAATTTAGGAAGATGGTAGGTAGGATGTGTGATGGGAGAAGGAGGGGGGGAATAGGTCAGGGCCGTACCAATGCCGTTTGAGAGGGAGGTCGGATTCTGCAGAAATTTCCCCAACGGCAGGGCGTGCCGCGAGTGTAACCCTGCTGAGGGAGATTAGGAAGTAGTAGGTAATTTTCCAGGTTTATTTCCTGAGAAAGGTAATTTTCCAGGTTTATTTCCTGAGAAAGAAGTTGTCGCTGGCGTTCTGTAACGGAGGAAAGGCTATCCTGGTGTCCCTGTATATACAGCGACAATTGAAATTTTACTTACACTGAATTTTTCAGGGTCCGCCAAGCACAAGAGGCGAAGTTTCTTTGCGCATAATCGACGGAAAGAGGTACTTGTGGAGATTTGACCCTTTTTCGCGCTTATATGGTTTCAACTGTATTTTCTGACAAAAAAATTCGCTTATTCAGTGATGAGAAGAGAAATGACGGTGGTCCCGTTGGGTTACCGATACCTTATGCTGTTCCTATGTTCAACCGTTCTGGTGTGGAAAGACAAGGTGGCACTCCGGATTTCCAGGTAAAAGTGGTGTTGGGGGTTGTTATCCTATTGGATTTCATTCTGATTTGTTTATATTTGGTCGTTGGGGGTCTTATTTCTGAGCATTTTCAGATGGCACCGTTTTTGTTCCAAGGAGGTCATGTAATTGGTGGCAACACGACCATGCCGTTCTCCTCCGGATCTCCTGCAGCACCTGGCTTCGGTTACGGGGCGTGGGGTGAAATGTATCCTCCACCTCACCAAGCTCCAACTACTTCCACTAGTGATGATTGTCTGAAGAAAGGAGGAGGTAATGGCTTGATTTCTACTTCTAGTGAAATTAAGTTATTTTTTTATTGAGCGTAATAATCGAGCTAACGATGCTATGAGTTTCTTCTACTGTGCAATGTTATAGTTAGGGCAGTTCATATTCCTAGAAAATACAATCCATCATTCCCATCCTGCCTACAATCATCCTAAGTTTCTCAACATCGCATCATTTTTCCCAGTTTTTCAGAAATCTCTAAAGTTTTCCATCAGAAGAGCAGCCGTCTAGCGGGTAGAGAGTGAGGGGGATCGTTACCAATCAACTACTATTCCAATTATCAGAAACCGCAGTTGTATGGTAGCTTGCGGCACCGGCAGTTAGAGGAGGGGTATCAATACAAAAAATTACTTACCCCGACCCCTTCTACTGACCAGATACAACCCACTCCGCTGGGGATACCCCAAAGTACAGTGTGCCCTGGTTATAGTACCTGCTCCCACTGGCCAGAGTAAATTTCGTGAGTGAAGGTCGCGGTAATTGAAAGAAAACATTAGAATAAGCTGGGATCTAGCATTTGTTCTCAATATCAGTTTCAATGGGGATTTCTATTAGAACTGATGTTTGACGCGCACTTGGCGCTCTGAAAACTACCGCAACAATGCTGAGCTATCTGAAAAGCCCTTAGGCAGAAGAAAGACCCGCATTTCACGTCATCAGGCGAGTGCGGTATCCGTCACGTCACCGGAGCCTATCTTT